TGTTGGCTGAAAGAAAGTTGGATGTCTACCTGAGTTTCAGCGGAGAGATGCATTACAGCATTGATTTTGGTTATTATTTGTCCAAAAATGGAATTACAACTTTTAAATCCAATAGCTGGAAGGAGAAGAGTTTAAGGGCACTTGATCCACAGAATCTCGATGCTTTGGCAGAGTCGAAAGTTGCTGTTGTCATGGCAGAGAAGAAAGCTTATTCTGTAGGGTTCCTAGAAGAGCTCGTAACAATACTCCAATTTCAGGAGGAAAGATCACTCATTGTCATACCAATCTTCTTCACAAACTACCATTTGAATGTGGAAGAAATCTCCCAACACTATCTTGGGCCGCATGAGGAAATGTATCCGTGGAGGTCACCAGTTTGGAGGAAATCCCTTACCAAATTGAACAACATAGCCACCCAGTATTCTTTTTCGGTGGATCATACGGGGATAAGCAGACTATATCGACTCAACAATATTGCTGATGACATCTGGCTTATGCTTCTCTCTTCAGCATCAAGTGATTTCAAAGGACTTGTGGGAATGGATCGCCAGATGAAACCGTTTCATGAGTTGTTAGCTTTAGGATCTACCAAAGAAGTCCGTACAATTGGCATATGGGGTAAGGCAGGTGTGGGGAAAACAACGCTTGCCAGGTACACTTATGAGAAGATATCCGCAAATTTTCAGACACATGTTTTCCTGGAAAATGTCGACAATATGAAAGACAAATTTCTATCAGAAAAACTTGAAGGGGAAAATCTCAGAAATGTAGATCATGAGGGGCATGAAATCACCAAAGTAAGGTGTAAACACCGAAAAGTTCTGCTTATTGCTGACGGTGTGGATAACATTGAACAAGGGAAGTGGATCGCTGAGAACGCCGACTGGTTTGGCCCAGGAAGCAGAATGGTTGTTGTCAGCCAGAACAAGAGGTTACTTGTTGAGTCCGGTGTGAAGCATGTGTATGAAGTTGAGTCCCTAAGATATGATGAAGCTCTTGAACTCTTCTCTCAATTTGCTTTCAAGCAGCCATATCATCCTCCTGATTTCGAACGGCTTGCAGTTCGTGCTGTCCACCTTGCGGGATTTCTTCCTTTCACCCTTAAACTGCTTGGCTCGTTTTTAGCTGGAAAAGGTCAAGAGGAGTGGGAAGCTACACTGCTTAAACTCAACGCAAAACATGGTAAAGACATAATGGAAGTTTGGAAGATCATGGAAGCATCAGAAGATAAAGAAATCGAAGAGGAATCAAAAACAAAAACAAAGTAGGAGTATGTGTACCATTCTCTTTCATCTTTCTATGTTTTCTTGATGACTATATGCATGCGAAAGCATGTAAATGTTAGTATCAAATAACTCTTTTTGGTTTTTGTGTTCCTTGAAACAGTAATGCTTCTATTGTTACGGTTAGTATATTATAAACCATGTGATGCTTGTTATTTCTCAAGATAGCTTTTGTTTAAAATCAGAGCAGGGAATCATTGAAACACAGAGAATGTTAGATAATTCTGATTAGACAATACAAGACAGGGCACATGATCACGACTAGATTCCTTCACTCAGGGTACCAGCAAATAAGAACTTTAACCAATGTACTATTCCAAGTTTTCGACCACAGCATCTAGACCATGATTTAACAGCCGAATTACAAATCCAAACCATCATCTATAACTTACAAATAAAGGGCGTGATCGTGCTGACTTACAAAACTATCTTCGAGTGCCTTCAGATCCAAATCAGCATCCATAACTTGTTGCTCTTTATCAAGAAACTGCACAGTAACATATGCCCAGATTCTCATACGCAAAAAAGTCTGAAGGTGTGAGAAGAGCTTTCCAAATTTTCCAAGGCGGAGTCATTTTTCTTCAGTGATCACTCATTAGCAGGCTGGTTTCTCTTCCAATCCTCCATCTATCTCTTATGGAAGCTCCGAATAGTGAGCAAGATTTTGAAGATAGCTCCTCGATTTTGGGTTACAGCTATCTACTGTGACTCGGCAACTCAGCGAAATTCGTCTGAAATCAACGCCTTTGAACGAAAGAGATGGTGTACGTGGTGGACATTGTTCATTCCGGAAAAAGTTATCGCCTCCCTGAATGTGATGGTGTTTCGTTTCCGTCTGTCTTCTGAGAATTTGGGGGAATTTCTACTTTCAGATAATTAAACCGGCTAAGTTTAATTAAGTATCTTGGTCATTTCAGAATGTTTTTTTATTCCAAGTTATCAATATCAAGATTAGGAAAATATTAAATTTTTTTTTTAATTTTCCGAGATGTCCAAATATTAAACGCATGGTACCAGTAAACCAAGAGCCTCTCGCGACCTTCTTAATCCACTTTCTCACCTCTTTCCTCTATTCTCTCGGTATTGGGTCTTATCATAAGGATTGTCTACGAAACTTCTCATCGGTCAATTATTAATTAGCATTTTTTCTGTATCTGCGGTTGTAAGAAAGTCCAAG